TTTCAACGAATAGTTGTCCTGTAAATAAAAGTGTGTAATAAAATACCTCCGATGAGATTTGAACCTGCAACATCTGGCTGTCAAGGCAAGCGTCATAAACATTAGACCACAGAGGCTTCATGGTTGCACAGGTTCAAATAACGTCAGATAGACTCTACTACACAATAGGTACGGCTGGAAACAAATGATAGTATATAATATAAAAACTACCTCTCCCCACCGATTGACCTAATGTTGATTGCAAGCTCATATAGGTTAAGTTTTAATTTAAAGATTTTGGGTACATTGAACAGATTTTATGATAAACACAATATTCTTTAGTGCAATACCACACGGTTCATTTATAACCACAAAATTACAATATGGACAAAGGGGTTACAGACAGACAGCACCAGAGAGTTCAAGCAAAGCTTCACCAAGTAATTGTAAGTGAGTCATATAGAATGCATACAATTGAATACAGTCTGTGTAAGAGGTATGAATAATCAGGATCTTAAGTTAGAACAATTTGTATCCTTAAATAAACAATAACACAACGGAAGAATCAAAGTTATGTGAAATCAATTAAATATATTTTAAGTGAATGAACTACAATTTTAACTATTGTATTTAAGCCCATTCAGTCAGAAATTATATAAATGGTAGACATACACGTTGACATTTGACCCAAGTTTCCACAAGTTAGGATAAATTAGACAATGGGCTTGTTGAAATTGTCTGGATTATCACAGAGCAATATAAGCTTAAATGTGTGGGAAAGTTTGGAGGAAACAATCGATATGACAAGGGAAAAAATAATAGTACTGAAAGTTAGTTGTATTATGCCTTGAGCACTTGTGAATTATACTGTAGATTATTACAAGTGTTTAAATATTTTAATTATTTTTATTATTATGGTATTGATTTATTGTCATAATTCCATGTTTATGAAGCTCAGATTGTCCATAAAATCAATAATTATATGGAACAGCATAAGAATTAACAAGAACATTTCAATTTTAAATTAATAGTTTTATATAGTGCATTGGCTTCACAATATTATCCTGGCTAATATCTACTCAGTTCCCTGGGGGTGATGGCAGTATTCTAATATGTTGCAGCTAGTAATCAACACATCTGCATTTAAACTTACCAGGTACAGTATTCACACCTGGGATGAAGGGTGAAAACATAAAGAGAGTGCGTTGCTAAATGACCAGGAGAGCGTCAAACGACTATGTTGACGAGAGCACAATTAACATATTTTAGGTCTAGTGAAATTGGGACTGACAAATAATTTTAGCAGCAGGTGAGTAGGAGGGGCTAAAGCCTAATTTTCACCCCTCTAAATCTGCACCTGATGACGCATATGAAACAGATATGTTGTGAATAGAACCTCTACCTTTAAGGCTAAGGTAATTGTAACATATCCCTAGACATTATTGCTAGTTTATGTTGATATATACAAGCTTTGACCAATATCCCACCCCAGGCAATTTATCAAAAGCAGTAAAAATACGCACACCAGCCACTCAATAGTCACTCAGTTGTGCATCTATTCTTCTTCGAATTTGATGAAGTATTACAAACAAGTTCTTAATCAATTTAGCATGGACACATGATTTGACATTTAACCAACTTAACTCTTATTACCAACCTAACTCAAACATAAGCTGTAATCATTATTCTATATATAGATCTTAGTTTTTAATATCAAATATGTTTTTCTAACACTTCTGTAGAAGTATTTTTAAATATTGTCTGTCAATACGGTTCTTAATTTATTTGACATGTAACCAACTCAACGGCTCTAATTACCAACCTATCTCAAACTGAACCTGTAATCATTATTCTATGTATAGACCTTAATTTTAGTATTAAATATGTTGTACCATTTCTGTAGATATTTTTTTAATATTGTCTGTCCATATTATTCTTAATCAATTTAGCATGGACACCACGATCTGGCATTTAACCAACTTAACTCTTATTACCAACCTTTCTCATATAAGCTGCAATCATTATCCTATAAATAGATCTTACTTTTAAAAATGTTTTTCACCATTTCTGTAAATGCTTCTTTTAATATTATCTGTCCATACTGATTATTATCATTTAGTATCCTGATTTATATGAGTCATATTCAGTAGTTACCTATGGTGTATGAAGCATTTCTTAATCTTATGTAAATAAGATGTAATTTTACATCTTCACTTTCTTAAACTTGTTTTAAGTTTCTTTTTAATTGTATATGTAACAGCTATGTTAGTATATTATGTAATAATTGTATTACACTATTTCATGCAAGAAAATTTTGTATTGTAACGATTGTAATGTCTGCTTTTTCACAAATGATGTAAAGATAAAAATGGGTCAATTGCTTACATTTTTTGTGATATTCACATACATATATAATCCATATATGTTATAATATGTATGCAAATACTGTACTGCAATTCTATATAGCATGGTAAGATTAATTTCTTATATTGCTAACCCCAGGGGTTGTACATAACAGTGGTCTAAGATTAATAAAAAAAAAACTCTTTGTGGCATGGTAGACATTTAACATCAATAACAGCAGCCCTATGTTTACAAGATATATTTATGTTTACCTGCACAGGCTACCATAAAAAGAAGTATGTGTATTTAGTAAACAGAGAGTAATGGACACCACCCTACCGCAATGAAGTAGGTCAGTCCTTCACTTATAGATACCGATCGTGATATTGAAAGATTGACTATGAAGTCAACATTAATCATATTGAATTAATATATATATATATACTGTCTCTTATACACATCTAGATGTGTATAAGAGACAGATATATATATATTATAAACATGCCAATTCATGAGCAATCTTTATTCTATAATTATTAAATTATAAAATTATGTTAGTAATAATTGTTTATAATTGTTTATTATTAGGTATAAATTATTTAAACATTATATTTTAATAATTCAGGAATATTATACACAGGCCTGGAAAGAAATTGTTTGTGCCTCCAACCATGAAGATTGTAATGTGCAAAAAAAAAAAAATTTTTTTTTCTAAAATGCCTCCGTGTTAAAGGTCAATGCCTCCAACCACCAGTCGAACACTTTTTCCAGCCCTGATTATACAGTGAATCAACATATGACTGATGCCTATCCTTTGAATCAGCATTTCCATTAAATAATTGCCCCACTCATGATTTTTTTTTTTTTTTTTGCTAAACTTGTTTTATTTTGATTAAATATTGATGCAATTATTGAGCACATCCATTGGCCCACGTTCCTTGATATTTTATATCAAGGCCACTTACTAAATAACAAATTCTCATTACTACTGTTGTAAAGATTCAGAGTATAACCAATGGTACTATTTCAGAAAGAAAGAATAGCGCAGGAAACATCACCAAGTTGAATTAAGTCATTTCTGGGAGATCTGTTTAAATGAGCTTTCTAATAGCACGTCTAAGTTTGTTTTTGACTTACGACGATAACAATCGACACAGACTTCCTAATGAATTTGCGGAAAATGTATTATTTTCCAGGAGATTTGTGTCCAGTTCCGGAAGTGCAGAAGGCCTCTCGTTTTCTGGGATACTCCCACATTTGCCGAGAACCGCTGCATCACTACAAAAAATTGAGATGCAATTATTGACCACACATTCATTGGCCCACGTTCCTTGATATTTCATATCAAGGCCACTTACCAAATAACAAATTCTCATTACTAATGTTGTAATGATTCAGAGTATAACCAATGGTACTATTTCAGAAAGAAAGAATAGCACAGGATACATCACCGGGGGTGCCAAGTTGAATTAAGTCATTTCCGGGAGATCTGTTTAAATGAGCTTTCTAATAGCATGTCTAAGTTTGTTTTTGACTTACGACGATAACAATCAACACAGACATCCTAATGAATTTGCGGAAAATGGATTATTTTCCAGAAGATTCGTGTCCAGTTCCAGAATTGCAGAAGGCCCTCTCGATTTCTGGGATACTCCCACATTTGCCGAGAACCGCTGCATCACTACAAAAAACTGAGCCAAGCATGGTTCCTTAAGTAGCAGAAAAGTGTAAAAAAAAACCCCCCATCAAAATATGCCCTTAGAATGGATATGGGTTGAACGACACCGAGATTCTACGCGCGCCATTGCAACAGTGCAGTAGGCCCCGAACAAGTCTTAGCAAGGGCCCAAAGCCTATTTGCTTTGCCACTGGAAAAGACAAGCATGTAGTCGATAGTTATATAGCTTCACGTCATTGACATTTCCAAAATTCCTTTAAAGAACATATTACAATATGCGGTCAACACACTTTTGATTAATTATTAAAATTATATCAATTAACTACTTAGATTAACAAAAACAATGAAACTATATTGCATATCGATATTACTCCCACTATGAACTCTGCATTCATGTAATAAATCAATTTCAGCATATATCAAATTAAATATTAGATAACATACTGTCGTCACTATGTCAATATTGATTTCAGGCTTATGATATTTACAAGCCGCCTACATAGCGCCCCCACCCCAAACACATTGTTTTTTCTCTGCCTCTAATGCTGGAAGTCCACAATCAGTATTTTGTTATATGATGCTGGTTTATCAAACTGTAGGTAATTTAATAGTTACAACCAGTTTGATAAAAGCTGGCATAAGCAGCTTAATTATTAATAATTCTTTTAATAATTAAGCTTTTGAAGGCTCTCTCATCCTGCTTGCACTTATAAAAACATTTCTGTATGTTGAATTATTTATACCTGCTATACAATAACAACACTTATTTACATTTGCTTTATATCGGACAACAAACAGAAGATAAGAAACGAGAATTTATTGAGTTCTATGGTGTGTTTATTGCCATTGAAAAAAACAACTACAATAAACCAGCAGTGTAGCATTTAAACTGTTCCCTACAATGTATGTTGTTGTCTTTAAAATAGTGGCTATGCTTACAATAAGTAATATTAAACATTAATTAAGAAAGTGTATACCATGACTAGCTTAACCTTGCTAATGTCAAAAAATCATAAAAAATAAGTTTGAAATAAACTTGCTCATTTTCCAATAACATACAAATTAATTACTTGTGCATAGAAATTACTGAATTTATAAAATGTGTACCCTGATTTTCAAACCAACAAATTATAATAAAACTAATAAAACACTTCAAGTGACTGGAAGTGATTCTATCATTTTTTGATGGGTAGACATTTTTTAAAAACACTAATTTCTATGTTCAAGTCGATAACTTTTATGTTACTTTAAAAAGTTAATTAAAAAAAATATTTTTATGATTTTTTTTTATATAGCAAGGGACAATACACCTTTAAGGTTGGTTGATGTAAGCCTTAAAATACTGTATATTTTTGTGTATTAGTGATCCACGTATAAGACAACCCCCAAGTTTGAGAAGGCTACTGGACGATTTTTGTATGTTGGGGCGTATAAGACGACCCCACCCCTCATTTCACCGTCGGAAATCCTCTTTTTGATACAATCCACTGGGCACAAGCCCGCATTTAGCCTTCAAATCGCCATAAACTGTACATGCTCAAGACTTGGTAATGTTCATGAATTTCAATGTATCAGCTTTTAAAAGCATTAATTGACAAATTAAACAGCCATCATCTTGTAGGCCATTAATTTCTGGCTTGTCAAGTTAGTAGCTTTATTTCATTAGTAAATTTACAGTACATGTTGCAGGTAATAATAGACGAACATGATTTTAAATTTCAAAAACCCCCAGTTTTCCGATAGTAATTTGCTATTTAAACCTCGTCTTATACACAAGAATATACAGTACTACCTTCCTAACTCCACTGATCAATAGCCCTCAAAATATGTTTTAGTTATTGTTACAGTGACACCACAATAATTGAATTATATAATGACTTGTTGTAAGCATAGCATAGGCAGGTTATAATATGTCTATGCACCATTATCTGTTAAACTCAGGTAAATACTGTACACAACTGTTGTTTTTGCTTTCATAGAAAGATATGCAAAAAACGCCAAAAATAATGCAATCATAATATATTTTGACTTGACACAGACCAAAATATAAACCGCATTTTTTTAGTGACTATGAAAAAATTGAGACAATGAATATATTATTCGATTTACTGATAAAATATTTTATACACTGTACAATCAATGTTGTTTCTAGACTGCAGACTGAATATTAATTACAAACAATAATAATAAATAATAGTAATATATAATGATTAAAATAACAATACAACCTTTTTTTTTTCAAAAGATAAATGAAGGAATAGTATTCTACCACCATATTGACTCAATAATACAGTGATAGCTCCAGCATGGTCTAGGGGCCCTGGACCCTAGGGGAATCCTGCACCCCTTTTTTGTATTAGAAGTCAATCATTTCATCACAAAAAAACTGCTTTAAAAAATGGCATTTTTGGGCATCTTAAAGTCAGACTCCGGAGGAAAAAAAATGTTTTGATATGTTGTAGAACTGATTTTTCTAAGACAGAAAAAGTTGTTTGACAAAAAACTGGGGAACGGTGAATGAGATACAGATTTTTTAATATCTAAAAACTGGGGGAGAAAAGGGACGTAACCATCCATTTTTACACCATTTTTACACCTTTTCCCCCCAGTTTTTAAATATTCAAAAATCTGTATCTCATTCACCGTTGCTCAGTTTTTGATCAAACTACTTTTTTTCTGTCTTAGAAAAATCAGTTCTACAACATATCAAAAAATTTTTTCCCTCCGGAGCCTGACTTTAAGCAGCCTATTTTTAAAATGTTCTCTATGCATGGTATGTTGGAGATGAGTGTGAGCCCTGCTTAGAATTTTGGACCTGTGATTGGAGACCTTGGGCCACACTGTTGGAGACCTTTGAACCCTCATCAAGGAATCTCTAGTGCTATGCTACAATAGTGTTTGATCAGACAGTGTTTACATCAGACAAACTAAAACAAATTACACGTCTCAGATATTAGGACTATGTTCCTACTTCTGATAAAACACTGTCTTTTGGATTTGTTATACAAATTGGAAAGTCTACTTAAAAAGTAAGACGGGATGAACTACTGTACTCCAATTTATAAAAATCTGAACAAACAAACTTTGAGTCTGCTGGGTGTAGAGTGAACCCTAATTCATCAAAGTCTGATAAAACAAATCGTGAGTCTGCTGGAAGTAGGACAGGGTTAGGGTCTGTGGATAAACTAATCTCCTTCATCAAAGCTTCTTTACAAGCACTGCCTCACAACAAATAAAAAACTGAGAGCGGAGGATGTTAACATTTCATTAAGCATAGAAGAATAAATGCTTATTTAAAGAAACTATGAAATGAAAATCTGTTATTATATTTTGATAAAATAGCTGATTGCACTTCAAAGGAAAGTTAAATCGTCTGATTTTGTGTCTGATACTTTGGCATCTGGTAGGAACTGTCATGACAGTAAATTGAATGCAATAGAAGTGGTGTCACTGGTTGCACATTTGATAACACATGAAGAAAATCAATATCTGCCTAGGCATATCAATCAACACCTGAATGCTAACCAGCGTATAAGGGTTTAGAACTAAGGTTAAGGAAAACATTACTCTTAAACCTGGTTTTCGTAAAATCGTTATGTAAAATGTCGCTGCAGTGACTTCACGGCATAGCTTCCCCCGACACAATGGGAAAGGCTCTTTGACAAACCAATGTCGTCACCAATGCCTGTCAGCGATCGTGCGATTACAGGTATATGCAAACATTGACTTAATTACCAGAAATACGAATATTCAGTTTTTAGTACAATATTATAAAATACATACTGTAGTAATTAATAGATAAAAATATGTAGCCTAAATTTGTACATAAACTCTGAATTAATATCAATGTATATTTTTTTTTTTTAACACCAATATACAGTAAAGTTTGTTTTTATGTTTCTAAAAATAGATACTTTCTGTATTACTGATTTGTAAGCTGTACAGAAATCATTATAGAGATATTTTTTAGTCCCTTGTGATACGAATTGTAAGTGGATAATGTTAACATTAATTGTTTTTTTTTTAAATAGATACAAATGATAGGTTGTCTCACAGGATTTAAATAACAAATATAATTGTGCAAAAACCAGGACACTGATATTCAACATGATTGGATTGTGAACTGAAAGATGTCTGTTCACCCGACTGTAACAAAGCCGGCATTGGTTAATAGCAATACTTTGAAATTCAAATCTAATCAATATTCATAATGAGCCATACCAACATACAAATATTCATGATTATATCGGCATAGTTAATTCCAGAAGAAGCAAGAATTATGTAGCCTATGAATATTCATAATATTAGCTTATCTTTTGTACCAATGAATATATATGACACAAGCTAAACATAAATTATTTTAAGCTATGAATATTCATTAGCTCATATTTGTGTACAAATGAATATGTACTGATTTTAAATATTGTACATTGTTTTCTATTTTATGTTAAGAGGTTCCCACTTTGTGTTGGGCCCTCTGCCCATGGTCCCCTCCTGAAAAATTGTCGAATTTTTAATAAATAAATAGAATAGATAAATGATAGAAGCTAAACATAAATAATTTTAGCTATGAATATTGATTAGCTCATACTTTGTACTAATGAATTAATATATGATTTAAGCTAAACATAAATTAATTTAGCTATGAATATTCATTAGCTACATAAATATTGCTACATAGTACTATATATTCATGCTAATTAAATATATTCATATTATTAGCAATTAAGTACGTAACTTGTTGATGAATATTTTTCATTAGCTACACAGTAGAGTATTTCCAATGTTACTGTATAAACAACTAATTAGCTTTAATAGCAAACATTTTATAATTTTGCACGTCTGTTTTCCTGATAATAAACATTCATCACTTTTAAAAATTAAACAATATTTTAGTACAAAGAATATTTTAATGAATTAACACATGATAGAGGTGAACAATATGAAAATATTATAATGAATTAATAAATTTATAAAAACAAATTTTCTTTATGGTTTTCCCACAGTGCTGGTTGCAAATACAAAATTTTCCAATAACAATAACTTAAACTGCATAGAATAACTGTAGCATTAGTAAAAGTAATATAAAAACATCATGAAGAAAATGTTAATAGAACTCTAAATCTCATCAAATGTTGTAATATTTCTTATCAACCATGAAGATGGGAAAACGACGTGATGCTTTATAAACCGAGCCATATTATCTGATTTTTATAGAGTTTAGGTAAAAGTCTGGGTGTTACACAGGATTCGAACCTAGGAACTTGTTTTTGACAGGTAAGCACTTAGCCACAACACCACAACTCCATCTATGTTAGGCAATTGCTTTCTTTTTATACAAAAACAGATAGTTAATTTACATATAGTGACCTTTCATAACAGCAAATTGACCAATCAGGACGGTTATCATAATATAAAGCCATTTTATACATGTGCCGATAATAGCTCATCCATGAAAGATCTGACATTGTTCATGATCTCATGACATCATCCCATGATTTGGAGAACATAATCGCCCAATGTTACATGATTTCAATTTTTTTAACTTAAAACTTGTGAATCTACTGCAACTGCTGTATCCTGTGCATAATTCAACTTGTAGCGCAACCGATCTTCTATCGGACAGTCTTGAACATAGATCACACGATTATACGCTTTTAACCGTTGCCAAAGTTGTAAATAAACCTTACATTGTATATACATAAAGACAACTCCGCCTGTGAAACCAATTGCGACAACGACAAGCTTGGTCCAGAATGGCCATTTGAGCTCTCCACTCTCAATCTCCGCCGTTGTCCTTTCTATTAAGACGTACAGTGACCAGACAACACATGTAATAGCAATTAAGTGGAAAGCAACCGAGCAGAGAATTTTGCGCTTTTCGTTTGCCGTCATCTCCAAACTTTCCCACTAGAAAATTTTAAAAATATAGAGATTTAATAGAGATAACTGAAATGCAATTCACTTTAAAAAAAAATCAAAATCATTATTATTATTAGTATGTAATCGTAATTGTATGTTATGTTGTAGACACAATTTCCCACGAAAGTAACGGCTGAGCATCTGACTTGGCACTGGCTCTGTTCATGTTATCTTTTCGTACTGTATTTTGTATTATTAATAATAATAATAAATAAATGATTATGAAATGAATCCTTTTTTTGTATTATTGGATAATGGCATCATGGACAAAGAGACCATATAAATGTTAAAACCAAGTTGTAATTGTTAATAATTAATGACCAAGTAGTATATTAATAGAAATACTGGTGGTAGAATAATGTAGCAGTTGACCATGATATTTAAAGTAATGTTCGACAGCTACCGTATCCTATAGTCTCTAGTTGGATCAATGCCAAACTCGGCGATAGCATTACATCTATTAAAGTAATTCAAGACAATGATCGCAATACATATTAAGAAGTAAATTCATTTTTACAAAATATTTGAATTAAATTTACCCTAAAAATAAATTCTAAAAAAGTTTATGATGCAGTGTGTAATTTCTGTGATGAAATGCTGTCAAGAGTGTAAATTAAAAAGTGTACGACCTAGTGGGACTGTGAGTTACCTGTACAATTTCAAACATTGCCAATTAATATTTCAATGATTTTATATGAAATCACAAGTGCTTTCTAGGCCTCGGATACAGTATAAAATTTCTCTAAGGGCAAAATCAGTTATGGTCATAAAATAATAACAATAATAATATAATAATAATAATAATAACAACAATAACAATAATAACAGGTACCTGTCGTACCTGTAGGCTTATAAAGCGCAAATAAAAAAGGTCTCTAAGTACCAGGTCCAAGTATCACTCCATATATTTGTATCCAATTAATTAAAAGGAAGAAAATATCTATTTCAAATGATCATGTTACTAACAAAATATATCTTAAAAATGCAACCCCAGATCTGATAAATTATTTAATTACCATCATCTCAATTGCTAAAGAGAACCAAGCATTATGGGATATTATTTTTTTCTCATTTGCATAAAACTTGCTAAATAGAGAACGGATACCAAAAGGAATTCAAATATTTGTAATTTTAATTTAATAATATGATCAAGAATATACATAATTATTTACGTCCGAATTGTGTTTACATGTATCGCCTGAATTAAATCATCATTGATTAATTTGATTACAATAATTTGCACGCTATAGCGGATGCTGTGACTACAAATATATGTCATGCATGAGTACCTATTTGTTGTTTGACCTAAAATGTTAAAGTATCATGAAATGACAATAACTTGAGAACAGTGAAGCATTTACGAATATTGACATGTCGGGGAGGGGGAAGATAGAAGGTTAGTGGGGATCAATGTTATCGCTGTCTCTTATACACATCTAGATGTGTATAAGAGACAGACCTGGCATAGTGGTATGAAGTGTAAAACTTTGACAGATTCTTGAAGAAACTCAACTTCCTGGGAAAGCTTCTAATGTTTTCAAGGTTTTATATGAAATAAATGTTTTATTTAGTAATAGTTGGTGTGTCTCTTGGGACGGGATTGTAAAACATGACAAAGGTATGACTGAGAGTCTAGGTCCATTTGGGTAGGACTTTAAATACAATGTTCAACTAGTAATTTTATGTAGCGCCACCAACGTCAAAATTAACATCTTAACTCACCTTGCCAATTGGTTTAAGTTTTGAATACATGCGGTAGGCATAGTGGCACAACTCGCAGTCTTTCGCATTTGAGCCCTTGATCCACTGATGCAAACAGTGCTGGTGAACAAACTTCAAACTCCCAGAACAAATGCACGGCATTATCAGCGGTGAATCTTCCTCTGATCCGCAATGACAAATGCGACATATATCCCCCTGGCTGGACGCAAGAGACACCATCGACTGGGCCTGCGATGGACACCTGGACGGATTGCGTGATGGTTCTCTTGACATGCCCGTTGGTGGCGTGTACCAGGTTTCGGTGGAGGAATGTTCGTATAGTTTGTTAGCATCTGCTAGGTTACCTTCCTGATTACTATCTTTATTATATAACGTACTGTCAGTATCAATTTTGTGGTTTACGTCACCCGACAATGATCTCGATATGGGGCTGGAAGTTTTTGAGCTCTAAAAGAAATGAAGGTACAAGACAAGAAAATGTTAATGATATCATTATCTTGACAAAAATATCTATTTTATTTATTGGTACCAAAAAATGAAAAATCACATATAATACTGAAATGAAGTAATCAAATGACCAATCATGTTTTATAGAAAATAGTCACATGACAAGAGGTTGCTGTATGTGCAAAATAAAGTGCAGGATTAATACAAAACAGCAACAACAATATCATTATAATTAGGCCACAAAACTTGTTTGATATTTTGATTCAGAATTCTAATGAATAGTGGTACGAATGAATTGAGATATCTATTTATTCTACAGGTTGGTGATTTTTAACCTTTTACATGAGGGTAGCCAAGTAAAAGATGCGTTTAGTAGGTGGGAAGTATCTGTTAAGATACTCTTTACTTTATCAATAATTTTAATCTCACAGATTTCATCATAGTTGTCTATTTCGTTGTAGAATTTTTCCTGCTTGATTTATGATACATTATATTCTGTTATAATCGTTTCTTCTTAAATTACCAAACCATACATAACTTCCAAACAAAAGAGCACTTTCAATAACAAAAGAATAAAAAAGATTCATTGTACATGTACCAACATTGAATGAACACAATTTCCTTAAGAAATGGAGGCACATCATTCTCTTCTTAACAATTTTATCACACTGTTCCAACCCAGTTTAACTTATATGCAGGTCATTATGATCTTAGTAGTGGGAGTTAAAATTTCAACCCTTGAATATAAACGGTTATATCTAGTCTGTAATTCCAATGTTCGACGACAAATTCCATTTGAAATGTAACACCTGATGATATTATTTTGACATGAATTAAAAAAGCAAGTAATACCAGTGGAATGTATACTCATCACAGAATTTAATACTACTTTAAGAATAAATTTGTTTTTAAGCATAATTTATAGATTATATAACTACTTTAAGAAAAAAATTGTTTTAAAGCACAATTTATATTAATAACATTATAATAATATAATATAATATAAATATATATTAATTTAAATACTTATTTATAAAGTAACAGAAAATTTATCACTAGAGAATAAACTGCAAGCCAGTATCTATTAAATTAAAAATTTAAATTAAAACTCATTTATTTCGTTCCACTTTTTATTAACTGTGTATTGTGAAGCACCAATGAATGCATAGTTTTTAACTAAGCAGTTTTGAGCGCTATATTAAATGCAATAACTATAAATATAACTATTTTGAAGGAACGTTCATGGTGTGTTGAATTCTCCGTGCTTTCTAAATAAAAGCGTTTTGGTGTTTCTATTTTATTCCTCTGAATTTGGTGTAATAAAATGTATAAAGCTGGTCAAGTCATTGTGACTTTCCAGTGTACTGTAGGTGTCTAGCACTATTTTGACTGCACATTCACTTAATGAAAAAGTTCAATACAAATATCATTGAATATATTATAATCTAAATCACAAACTACAGTATGTGCAACTAGCCATCTAATTTCCCTACGGAACACTTCTTCAATCAGCGTATAATGTGAATACGCAGTCCGCCATTCGGAATTCCCAATGGAATATTCTTCCTCATTCAGCGTGGAATATGTAGATCAGTGGCATATACATACATAGCAAGATTAAATACTGAATTAACTGTCATATGTTTGAAATTCTTGAATATGGCAATACACACAAAATATATAGAATTAATGTAGATAAATGCCTTGCTCACACATGGGAATTGTACTATACTGTATGATTAAAGAAAATAAAAATGGGAAAAGGGGGTAAAAGTAATAAGCCTTTTAGAAACCTTGTAGGCCATAGAACCTGTAATTTCAGAATCTTTCTTTTTGTATCTAGGCCTAAAAATTACATTTTCATTTAAGTGAACATTCATTTGGAAGCAGTTGGCTCAGTATTTGCAGTTCGGGATTTCAACTTTGAGGTTGGGGGTTTAAATACCATGCTGTGGATTTTGTGCACTGCATTTTACCAGTACACGCTTGTATCTCTTTACATAGTGTACAAGTATGAAAAAAAAAAACATTAAAATTTAAAACATTCACCTTCTCTTGACAGTTTTAAGTCACTACTCAAGACACACCATTTTTATAATCTCTTTTTTGAATGGCACCACAAGCGACGACAGTTGGATTGGCGCCACATAAACGATTGATTGGTTGAATGGGAAGCTTGAGATGCAAATGTTCTATGACGAATGTATTATGCAGAAAGGACTGTACATAATAATATAAATAATTAATATTGTTGTAATTATTTAAATTTCTAATTGTTTACTCATATTTTTACAGTATTTTCACCATTTAACATTGGAAGTAAAATTTCTTTTGGGAGGGGACTAGCCATACTAGCACTACCCCTGGTTGATTAGAAACTGCTGTTGTTGAGAAAGGTCAATGACCTTCCTATACTGTATTCCTTAAACAACCATGCAACAACAAAAAAAAGCACTTGTGTAGATATTAATTCATGAAACAGAACATGAAATCTGCAAATATTGATTACTGAGAAGAATTGAATGTTTCCCATTCTAACCATGCTTATTCACAGAACCCTAAACAAATACTGTACATAGCTGGTTCAATATTTAACATGTGTTTTTCTATTATTAATGAAAATTATATTCTTGCCTTGCTTCTGATTTCCAAGATCTGAGTATATGACGTTTTTGTCTTTCTACCAGTAAGTTATTTTTGTGAACAGAGGTTATAGAAATCAATGCTATTGATTTTGCTAGTTTCCCAATCAAATTGCTTATTTCAAGTTTAATTTTGTTCATAATCATCTTGTTTGTTACATTTAATAAATAAACACTTTTTTAAACTTGGAATTAAATTACAGAATGTTGTGAAATGGAAAATGAACATGCACAATGGTATATTAATTTTCGTCTTAAATACTGCATAATGCGAAACCAGTATGTGCACTTCACAATATTATGCCGGTAATTATATTAAACAGACAGAACGTTACTCAGATCAATGTGTGCGGCTAATGTATTAATGAGTACATTGACATTCAAGTCTACGGAGTATCCAAGTATTCTCTTGGGTACAGAGAATAATGTGCTTTGATAAAGAGCTTGGCGAGACTTTTTATAACTTGTTTAGCGAACCTTCCGCCTGTCAATGATGATTTCGAATGAAAATATAATTTCATAAGACAAACCAGATCTTTCAACTGGAAGCAGTGGCATATATAGGAGGTCGTGGGATGGTGCAGTAGTCAGGAATTGAACTTCAAAATTCATATAAAGGAAATAGAAACTAAAATTTCAAGAAAAAATAGGTATTCTTTATCGTCTGTCTTTATATTTAGCCTTACATATTCTCCGTAATATTTATTGTTCTCTTATTCTTCCGTTTATTAGCTATTGCAATATTGTGTGGGCCAATAACTACCCTTCAAACCTTGATAAAATTTATCTTCTTCAAAAGAATGCTATCTGCCTTATTTCTGGTACGCCATGTTTAGCCTATAAACATTGTTTATTTTTTGATCTAAATCTTTTAAAACTATTCATGACATCAACAAATTCTAGCAATGTATTTTTGTTTATGGTTATATACGGTAAATTTTAACCTTCCCTCAAATTGTTCCTGTAAATTTAAACTTAAATCTGAAATACATTCTTACAACACTAGGGCTTCACATGAACTTCATTTACCTCAACCCAAACTCACTCAAATGCAACACAATATCCGTTATACTATATATTGGTACCGCTATAACTTATAGAGGCACCAAATTATTTAACAATTTTCCTAACAATATAACATTGTCTCCCACAAGTAAACATTTCTCATACAAATTAAAAAAATACCTTCTTTCAAATTATAATTAATGTAATACTTAGTCAGTCATGTTTTTTATGATTTATATCAATTAATTGTGCTTCCTCTATGTTTATATGTTTTTATATTTCTTCATAATTATATATCTATTTATTATTTACTATAAAATCTTATTTGGCTAGCCCATCACAAGTTTTAATTGGAATTTGTTTCCAATTAATTTTACTTACAGGGCACACCTCTTTCCATTTAATTTATATTTACTAAAACATTGTGAAATAGTGGGGTAGCCGTGTTAGCCTGAACTATAGTAATACGCAGAAAAATGACAGGCAGCACTTTATACACTAACAAATATGATATTCATTAGCACAAGCTTTCACATGAACTTCATTTACCTCAACCCAAATTCACTCAAATGCAACACAATATCCGTTGTAATATATATACAGATTATATACATTATAATACCTTAAATATTTGTTAATTATTTTTTATCTTGTGAAAGAAATAAATGTTGATTTGATTTGATCTTTATTCCAAATCACAATTTTTAGTGGTCAGAGGGTTTGCTAAACACAGTATAAAAAGTCTTGTCTTACTGTAGAGGCAAGAAGATTGATTAAGGCCCAACAAACAAAATGAGAAGTTATAGTGAGTATAGAGAGTGTAGATAGGTATAATAGAAAGTGAGGTGAGATATTCTATTAAAAGTCACACAGGATGACATACTCCGCCTCACTATTTCTAACATTTCCTAGTTATTTATTAACTTCAAGTTAAAGTACAAAAAAATAAAAAAATTAAATATAAATTATAATCATAATTAGTGGAATTTGTTTATCATAGATTTTGTCAAATCTTTAAATGATATTATAAATTGCATCAGAAGCTATATTCCAATAAAAAAGAAAGTGAAATTAAGTAATATTGTAATAATTAATAATGCTAATAAACAGTATCTTCTTTTGAGGGCGATCAATCTAACAACGTTGGTTTTGTACATTCAATGATCTGTTACATAGAGTAATGCATGATGCCTTGGCAACTATAATCTTTATTTTACACATTATATTAATTTATTTTACACCTATTTAATGAGAGCGATCCATTCTCTGATGCTGTTGATGTGAGAGCCGTATACTACTGTATTATAACCTAGCATATTATAAACAGTCTCTTTATGAGGCCTGGAGAGTGGA